AAAAATTAAATCCTAAAACAATTAAAAAAATTTTAAAGGAGAAGATCTTTGAGTTTAGATTTAATTAAGAGTCGCGATTCCTAATTTATTCAATATGCAAGAATTTATTTATTTAGGTTATAAAATTTTTATATTTTACAAATATTTAATTAAGTTTAATGTTCTCTCCATATTTAAAATAGTAGTTATAATAAAAATATTAAATTGTATTACCCTTAAGTTGTTAAGTATGAAAAATTAACCAATAATTTAAGTATGAAAAATTAACCAATAATTTAAGTTATTCAATGGTTATCTCCTTTCGTTAGAAATAAGAGATTCTGAGTTCAAGTCGTATGAAATGTGAGTAGAATAAGATAAAGGATAAGAAATCGTTACCTCCCATTGTGCAATCAAGATAAAAAAAAGTATGAAAAATTATAAAAATTATACAAAGTTAAATAAAAATAATTTAAAATTTTATGTGATCAATATAATATTTAAAAATTTTAAGAGGCAAAAAAAATATGTGTACTAAAGTTGCGAATTTTCAAAAGTTGAGGGCGGCCGATCCCTCTGCCAGCCCCTCCCTCCGCCCCTGGTTCGGGGTGATTGTGGGACGAAGGCATAGTGGTGCAGAGGTTCTGCTATGTAGATGGAGGAGAAGACGTCAGGTTCAAAGGCTATGGAATACTAGTTTGGCGTGGTGGGATAAGCGCTCTCTCGCCGACCAAGGAATGTTGCTAGTTTCCAAGCCAATATGATTGGGTTATGGTGAATTCGAGGGAAAGGGATTGACATCAATACTGTTGGTGGTGATGGAGGGAGGAAGGTAGTGATAGATGCTGATGGCATGGTTTCCTCCCCGATAATTATTTTAAAAAGAATTTTATATATTACTATAATTATTAAATTATATAAAATATTAATTAAAATTAATTTAATTATAATAAATTAACACTTGTTCGAAGTATTAAAAAATATATATAATAAGAAAATAACTTCAAACGCAATTTAAATCAATAAACCTTATGTTGACGACCACTTAAAATGGGATTAAGTGTGAAAATATAAAAAGAAAGGGGAGTCGCCACTCGTCCAAATTATAAGGTGGGACAAGTCACCTAAATCAGGTCTGCGCAGAGATCGAGGTTCGGGGGTTCGGTTAGGAGTGAGGAAGGGCATACGCGCACCTCACAATCCTCCGTTTAAACACGGTTGCATACTTTAACATTGGGGGTTTTGATTCAACTTATTTATTACATTTATGTTTGAGTCTTAATAAGCAAACTT